ACTTCACTTGCATACTTCTCTTGGTTGACAAAAAACCCATTTGAACCTTGATAAACCTGCATCCTGAGGAAATAAGACATTTCCCCTAAATCAGTCATCTCAAACTCATTGAGCATGGATTTCTTAAACTCCTCCAATTGAGCTAGTTTACTCCCTATCACAAGAAGATCATCAACATACAAGGAGATAATCATCACATCCTTATCAACTTCTCTAACATGCAAAGTATGTTCATTTGGACTTCTCACAAAATCCAAGCTTATTAAGTGATCATTAATCCTACTATACCAGGCCCTTAGTGCCTGTTTCAAGCCATACAAGGCCTTCTTCAGGAGGTAAACTTTATCTTCACTTCCTCTGATCTTGTACCCTTCTAGTTTTTCAACATATATTTCCTCATTCAGCCATCCATTGAGGAAGGCTGATTTAACATCCAACTGAAAATTTTTCTAGCCAAATTGAGCTGCCACAACAAGCAATAATCTGACTGTATCATGCCTAGTTACCGGTGCAAAAGTGTCCAAGAAATCAACTCCATATTGTTAAGTAAAACCTTTGACAACTAGCCTAGCTTTGTGCTTAAGAACTGAGTTTCCTCTTGAAAATCCATTTAACTTGGATTACTTTTCTATTCTCAGGTCTATCCATAAGTTTCTAGGTTTGGTTCTTCTCAATCATTGCTAGGTCCTCCTTCATGGCAGCTCTCCAAGCCTCTGATTTTGCTGCTTCAGAGTAGTTTGTTGGTTCAAGTGAAGCCATGTTGCACCTCTCACAAACCATAGCTAAAGGTCTGGTGCCTTTAACCGAGAATTCCTCTTCTGCATCACTCTCATCTTCTTCAAAAATCTGATCACTAGCAGCTTCTGTCCATTGCGGTCTTGTCTCTACATCAACTTTGCTTTCTTCCCAATTCCAAACTCCATCCTCATCTGCCTTGACATCCCTGGAGATTAGAATCTTCTCGGATTCTGGAACATACACCCGATAAGCTTTGGATTGGTTGCTATAGCCAATAAAAATTCCAATCAAGGCCTTATCATCCAACTTGGATCTTTTTGCTGCTGGAACTAAGATAACATATACTCCCAAAGATTTTGAGATTGTATAATACTGGTTTGACTCCATACCAGGCTTCATAAAGAGTTTGGTTGATCAAGGCTTTTATGGGAAGCCTATTAAGTAAGTACACTACGGTGTTGATAGCTTCTGCCCAAAAATTCTTTGGCAACTTCTTCTCAACAACCATACACCTTGCCATCTCCATAACAGACCTGTTCTTCCTCTCACTAACTCCATTTTGCTGTAGAGTGTAAGGGCTGCTATACTGATGTCTAATTCCAGCCTCATTGCAAATTTGCTCAAACTTTTGAGAAGTGTATTCAGTACCATTATCAATTCTCAAGGTTTTGATGGTTTTTCCTGTTTGGTTTTCCACCAGTTGCTTAAATTTCTTAAACACACCAGCCACCTCACTTTTTTGCTTCAAAAAATACACCCAACACATCATGGACCAATCATTCATAAACAACACGAAGTACCTACTTCCACTCAATGATAAAGTTTCCACAGGTCCACACACTTTTGAGTTAATGAGCTGAAGTTTTCCAGCGACTCTCCAGGCTTGGTTTATAGGAAAGGGCTGCCTACTCAACTTGCCAAGTTGACAAGCTGGGCATACAACCTTAGTTTCTTCAATTTTGGGCAGATTCTGGACCAATTTTTTTGTCTGAATTTCTTTAAGGCCATGATAATGGAAATGGCCAAATCTCTTATGCCATTTTTCAAACTCATCTACCCTAGCATTATAGGCTCTAACTTCAGATTTTTCCCACTTAATAGGGAATCTCTTTCCCACCATTTTTACCATCATAAGTTCACACCCTTAATTTACTATCCAAGATTTGATAGGTTTGGTTTTGAAAATGTAGGACATAATTATTTTCCAACATTTGTCCTACACTAAGGAGGCTTTGACTAATTTCGGGTGCATAAAGTACATTGGTAATGAGTTTTGTACCCGTTGGTGTCTGGACAACAACATCTCCCTTTCCTTTTGCTTCCACAAACTCACCATTTCCTACTTTGATTTTGGACCGATATGAATGATTCAATTTGACAAAGTTCCGTAGGTTTGGTGTCATGTGGTTTGTACATCCATTGTCAACCAACCAGCCTTCATTGCTTGTTTGTGTTGCATTGTAAGAGGCTACAAATAGTTATTCTGTCCTTTGCTCTGGTTGTTGATCATCAATCACTTGAGCTTGCTGTCGGGATTGCTCTCCTTTATTCTTGCAGACACTCTCTATGTGGCCAAACTATTTTTAGGCCCTGCATTGTATCCCTGGCCTAAACCAACATCTCTTCTCAGAATGGCTTTTCTTTTTACAGTGAGAGCAAGGTGGATACTCCTTCACCCCACCTGGTTTTCCCCACTGACCATTGCTCATTTCTTTCCCCTTTTTGTCACCGGCATATCTCCTATTGTTCCCTTGTACAGACTTGCCTTTGTGAGTTGCCATCATTGCACCCTCATTTGCATCTTCTTGCCTCAAGAGCCTTCTTTGCTCTTGTGCTTGCAATGCATGGCCTAACTCAGTAAGAGTGATCTATGACATATCCCTTGAGTCCTCAAGAGAGGAAATTTGGACTCAAACCTTTCGGGCATGCTCACCTTCTCCACAACTATCCTATTTGCCAACTCCACTCCACTCCAAGCAACCTGATTTTGTTGACTACACTCATCAGCTTGTCAACATACTCCTTCACTTTCTTTGATTCGTGCATCCTCAACATCTCAAACTCCCTTCTTAGATTTAGCACCTGCATATTCCTTGTAGTGTCACTTCCCATGAATTCCTCTCTTAACTTGTCTCAAGCTTCTTTTGCAGTTTCACATGCCACTATCCTTGTGAATACAAGGTCTGTTACAGCAGTATGGATGTGAGATAGGGCTCTCGGTGCCTTGTGTAATGAATCCCACATCAGAAGCATATTGGGGAGGTCTTGGGCTTATAAATGGGGGGAGTCCCTCCACCTAATAGGTTAGCCTTTTAGGTGTGAAACTCTCAGCTCGTGACAAGTGGTATCAGAGCAGACCCAATCCGTCTTTTGGTGTCCCACCGAGTAACCACACAGAAAGGCGTCCACGTGTGATTGTGGGTCCACACGAGAGTGAGGTGGACGGGTAGGTAAGGGCCCCCACTTGTGATGAGGGCGTCACAGGATTAGGTGGGGGAAGAATGTAATGAATCCCACATCGGAAGCGTATTAGGGAGGTCTTAGGCTTATAAATGGGGGGACATTTGGAAGCTTTTTCTTCATGTATCTTGATCTGATTCAGGGTGGGATTTGGTCCCAACTGAGGTGGGTGATGATTCTTCTCCACATACTGCCACAAGCCTTGGCCTCGGAGAAAAGCTTTCATTTGTGCAACCCACATGTGATAGTGTTCACCATTGAAAACTGGAGGTGATATCAAGGCTGATTGAGCAACCATCGGTTCAGTTTAGAGGTCTGAAGCAGGAGAAATATAAAGTCTGAAACACAGGAGTTCTTGAGCTGAGATGAAGGACTGAACATGGGAGGGAGAGATTTCAAGTTTTTAGTAAGGTTCTGATATCGTTGTTGGTGTCTTAAGCTGTAGAATGCTAAGGAAAAGAAAGGGAGAAAAATGAGATGAGAGAAAGGTTCTTTTCATTGCAATAACATTACACTTTTATACAACAAAGCTGCCCACTGTTACACCAACTATTCAGAGATATTTACAAATTTGAAATTTAAAACAAAGTTTACAACTAATACACCCTTAATCATAGCTGAGAGCACCTAAACTCATCACCAATACATATCAACTTCAGCAGCTCTTACACGGCAGAATGCAAGGCAAAACAGAGAGTTCTTTGGCGCCAAAAGGTTTTCAAAAACAAACTGAATTTCAGTTATATTTCCAGCAAAATATCACTGTTTCACCGGCATGTTTGAATTATTTGATCCGTCCCGGCTTTGAAGTAAGGTTGTAGACTTGACCGGGTAGCGACATCCTTCCAATGCAAATTGTTCCACCACCGCAATCCTCCTCTTATTTCTTTAATGGTATTTGCATTATGGGTTGTGAGAGGCAGCTGCTGAAGCGAGTTACAATCGATCACCTCAATCTCCTCTAGACTTTGCCAGGATTGTTCATGATTGTAGAAAGTTTCTAGTTTGCCAAGTTTCTTCAGTTCAACTGTCTTTAGATTTGGAGCAATAGGTTCTGGAACAAAAGTTTCTGCAGAACAATTAAAGAGCTCCACTAACTCATCACAAAAGCTGACCTCTATTTTTTCCAGGTTTGGCAGGGCAGGAAGGAAACTAACCCAGAGAAGACATTTTAATCGAGGACACACAGTTACTTCCATGGATTTTAGTCTCGTAAATCTCAGACCAAGATGACCAACTAGTTCTGAAATGTTTTCTAAACAAGTCAGATTTTGGAGACGGAGTTCTTCTAAATTTGGTAGCAGATCACAATGGGCGGCACATCCTCCATCCGGCCTTAAGCTGCTGTTGAAACTTGCAATGGTTAGAGATTTCAAACTGGCAAAATGATCAACTCTGTGTATGACCAAGGTTTCAAGCATTTGCTTCAGCCCTCGACAATGATTCAGGACAAATGAACTTGCATTAGGCAGAAACCAACGGATCCATTCACCTGAAAGATCAAGACCACCGATTGTCACCTTTCTTTTGTCATGTTTACTTGGCATGGAGATTGCTTCCGGACCTATATAGAATTGGAATCTTTTTAATCTACCTATCCAGGTAGGATCTTCAGAGATAAAAGATGGAATGGCCGCAAATCTTGCTGATAAGATAAATAATCGTCCAAGGCATCCCAACACTTCGTCCGTTGATTTTCTCCAAATGTAAGCACTGTGTGCCATTTGTAGAACCTCCAAACTACACAATCTGGATAAAATCCCACTTTGAATAGATTGTAGGTAGTGAGCGCGGGATATGTTTTATACTCTTAAATTGCTCAAATTTTCCATTTCACTCGGAAGTTCTCTAATACGAGTCGCACAGCAATCAAGCACTTGGAGTTTGCTAAGCATGCCTAATTGGGTTAATTCTTCAAGAAGACGACAATCCCTCAATAGGAGCACTTTAAGGTCAACCAGATGGAGAATGGATTGAGGTAATGACTGAATGTTGGTTCCACTAACATTCAGGATCCGGAGTGATTGAAATGCTTGCAGAAATCCATCAGGAATTCTCTCAAGGGGAAGGTGGCCTTGCAATAGTAAACTTGAGGCCTCTGGACATTGAATTCCACGATCCGGCAAACCTAATATTTTGTTATTAATGAAAGAGATTCTCTTGAGAGATGTGGACATTTCAGCTTCTGAAATCCTAGTCAAGCCAATTCCTGACCGGACAAGTGATTTATAACCATCATCCAAGGAGGATGATATCCATATAGCAACATCACGAATTACGTCATGCATCTTCACAGTGCTCTCGTGGGCTCCTTCTTCCAATAAACAAGAGTCCTTTAGATTTTCAATCAGAGCAATTCCCCTATTGTGCAAGTCCTCATAATTTTGTTGTTCATCTATCAAGCCTTCCGCCAGCCAGCAATTTACCAGTTCGCTTACTTCAATAGAGAAATCTTCCGGATACAAAGCGCAGTACAGAAAACAAGGTTTGATGTTTTTACCTTGTAATGAATCGTAACTCCACTTCAAGGGCCTGAAAACTCTATCCTCTATGCCTCTGATATGAGGAACTGACCTTCGCAACTCGTTCAAGGCATCCTTCCACAGTTCAATCATTGTCTTCCCCCTCATAGCTGTCCCCACAGTGATGATAGCCAAAGGCAAACCGCTGCATTCTCTGGCAACCACCCTCGCTAATGGTTCAATATGCTTTAAAGTAGCCACCTTCCCGGCACTTCTACTAAACAATTGCCATGCTTCTTCGTCATTAAGAACATCGACTTTTACTTCTTCATCAGTCTTCATCTCCCTACATATCTCTAAAGATCGAGATGTCAAAATGATCTTAGATCCTGTATGAACTTCAGGTTGCGGGACACCCAAAGCATCCAAATCAATCATCTGCCACACATCATCCAAGATAAGAAGAAATTTATTCTCCCGTTGGAGCCTCTGATGAAGTCGAACAGCTAACCTCTCCACACTTTCTCCCATTATCATTTCAAGATTCAATCTCTCCGCTATTTGTATTTGAACCCTTTTTAAATCTAGCTCCTTGGACACAGTAGCCCATATTACCACGCCAAATTGTTGAGTGGAAGAGGTGTTCTTGAGATTGTTGTTCAAGTTCTTCACCAGGGTAGTCTTGCCCACTCCCCCCATGCCCCAAACACCAATCCTCTGAACATTATCATCATTCAATAGATTCATAACTTTGGCTAAACTATTTGGTGCTGTCGTTTGATTTCTGATTGACGGTCCAGGGATATACTCAACCTTTTTAGCCAAATGGTTCACACATTCTGTTCTAGCAATGATATTCCTAATCTTCAAAAGCCTTTCTATCTCCTTGACAATTCTAACCGTTTCCCTGCTGAATTCATATCTTTCACTGCAATTAAAGAAACATCCACAAAGTTTTTGTTTGTTGGTTGTCCTACCTGCTTGCACAGGCTCTGCTTCGAAAATGATTTGTTGGACATCTCTAAGCCACTCCATCTTTTGTGTATTAGATAAATCAACTTCTTCTTTCACATTGCTGCGAAGATCTATCAGACTATTCATCTTTTTTTCTAAATCATTGAGATTTGATTGGAATCTGATGAAGTTTTTGATGTTAGAAAAGGAGCCACAGCGCCTTCGGCTTATTTCTACCGCAGCTGCATCTAGAATTGAAGTCAGAACTTCCATCGTGGAATCTTGGTTAAAAGTGTTGCCAAGATTTAAGAAATTTTATGGCAATCAACCGTAGAAGGAACCCAAGTTTCTCAGCCACTCAGGGAAGATAAACTGAGATGCAAAAGGTCATTGCTCTTGGAAATTGCTTGCTAAGCTGGGAAAAAGGGACCCTCCAATGGCAAGTAAATTTCCTGCTTACCTTTTGATGTCATTCTGATGCTGACTTTTGATGATATTTTTTTTATCTCCTAGATAAAGTTAAAAAAGAATCGGAATTCTACCGACCAATACCAATGATCGAGTAGACATGTAACTTCCTAGAAGAGTAAGTGCCTTCTACAATCACAGAGGCTTCCAGTTAGTCTTATCTTTGGCTATCTTATTTCCTGAAATTGAATTCATAAATTATGTAACTAGAGAATTTCTTAAAAACGTAGTGATGTTCGAGAGATTACATCCAGCTTCCATAACGTCCAAAAAATTTGTAACTTGTGACAAATTCTTTACTGCTCTGCTTGGCAGGTAAAAACTATTTTCTATGATCTCAAAGGGTTGGTCTTCGGTTAAGAATGTTTATTCTATTCTGGGTTTAAATTTTAGAGTTACCTATCACAATAATATTGTAACTCACCTGGTTATTTGGATTTGTAAGATGTTTAATAGATCGAAAAATTAGTGGAAATACGCATAAACTGGTCAGACACCCCATATGCCAAAAAAAAAAAAAAAAAAAAAAACACTATGTTCTCCAGCTTTTCAGTCAACTACTTTTTACCCCAACATTTATCTATAGGATTCCTTTTTTTTTTTCAAAGAATATGTGATGTCATTTTCCAAATATTAGTTTTTTGCCGCTATCCTACCCCCCGATCAAACAAGGGCGGCCAGTCAATGAAGGTGGTTGGTAAACCATCCGGTTGAACCCCTCGGGGCCCATTTATCTATATGTTTGATTGAAAAAGAAATTTGACTTGAACAAACATTATATAATTAGTTAAAATAATATTTTGTTTAAAAGTATAAACTTAATTGTTTTAGAAAGAAAATATAGATAAGAATTAAGTTGTTTCATGAAAAATTTTTAAATAATGGAAATACTAATTCAAATATTTTTCTTATTTTCCACATCTATATATATTCACACTTAAAAAAAGAAAAGAAATATTAAACCCTATATTACCTCTTTATATATATTTAGCTATTTTCAATTTAAACTACAACAAAAACAATGTTTTAAATAATTGGCAAGTTGTACAAGGGTATTTTTGTCCTTACACATGAATGGTGTGTAAAATATCAGATTTCTCTAATCGCGGTTAGATTATTGGATGTGTTTGCTGGTTTCTGGAAATTTTGGGGCAGAATTGAGTTAAACTGACAAACTTTGGAGCAAAATGTTTTTCTCTCCTCTCTGCTTTGCTTTGCTCTAGGGTCCAGCAATAAGCGCTAAATATGAACATTCTCAAGATATAATATGATGTTTTAATGCGCGTTATAGTTGAATGTTCTTGAGAGAATGATATTTTGACCGCATCATACGGATTCCTTTCCTTAATGCTTTGGCTGTCTATCATTTGTTTCTGTAATCTACACTGGTTGACACAAATACTTGTAGCCTTTATGCAACCTGTTTTCTTTTCTTCTTTTTCGTTTTTCTGGATAAGATATTATGTTTGCAAATTGGGCAGCACATTGAACTCTTTTTCTTGTCCCCAAATATTGAGGAAAACGAAAAACAATTATTATCTACTTCTCCTGGATTTGGAACTCACTGTCAGTACTTGCATGGATGACTAATATGGTAAAATTTCCAGCTGTTGTAAATCTTTTCACCTCCTAAAGCGTTATTGCTATTTCCTTGCTGAATTTACACCGTTGACTGCAATTAAACAAGCATCCATTGTGTCTTTCCTTGTAGGTCTCCATACTTATTTATAGAGACTTCGGTCGAAGCAGAAATGCTTCGATCTCTCCAAGCCATTCTTTCACTTGAGTTTTTGGTGGCTTCCTAACTTTCTCTGCAGCTGCAATTTCTTGATTAATGTTTTCTCTAAGATCAGTTAGAGTCTTCTTCTCTTTTCTTAAAGCTTTTATATTTGATTAAAAACGAACTGTGTTTCTGATATTAGAACAGAGGGAGCAACAAGGACAAATGGAACAAGAACAGTAGCATACAACTTATGCCACTACTGAAAACAACAGTTCCATGGAAGAAATTTGTTGAGCAAGAAACCTGATGCTTAGGTTTCGAAAATAAGTAACAGATGAACAGAATGCTAGTAGTCATATTATTTCTTTATATGTCATGACTCATCATCATCTCAAGAAACAAATGTACGGTAAAAATTTCTTGTTGGACTTCAATCATTTGATAATTAAGCTACAATGCTTTCTTTGTTCAATTATTGTCTAAGTATAGTTTTGGCGCACATGACTATCAGACTGTTTCTCTAACAAGTTGAGAATAGAAAACGAATCAACAGTTTCAAGGATGATGTCCTAGGTATGAATCAAGGAGAAGACGCTTTAAACCTCACAATAGAAAGTGGGTAAGAGATTCTGAGCCCCACCAAAGAAAATGAGTAACTCTCAGAACCCACCCGAAAAAATGGGTAAGGGTCCATCATCCATGGAATGTTACATACTATACGTATATGATACCGAAGAGGAAGCATTACATACTTTATGGAGAAAGGGGAAATAAACTCTGTTGGTCAAGGGACTATATGATCAGATCTCTTATCTTTATCTTACAAAACTGTTCCATCTATTCTCTGCATCTCCATTGGTCTTACCTCCATATCAGCCTGTTTGAAGAAAGGCTGTAGACTCGATCTGGTATCCTTGTCAAAATCCAATTGGCTCCACCACTGCAGCTCTCCTCTTATTTTTCTGATACCATTTGCATTTTGAGAAGTGAGAGGCAACTTCCCTAGCAGATTGCACTTGATCACATCAACTTCCTCTAGACTTTGCCACAACTCATCCTGTCTGCAAAGATTCCTTAGCTTGGGGAGATACTTCAGTTCCAATGTCCGAAGTTTTGGAACAACAGGTTCTGGAGTAAAGCTTTGCTCTGAATAATAATGAAACAGCTCAACCAAATTTTCACAGAAGTTTACCTTGATCTGTTCCAGATTTGGTAGGTCTAGAATGAAGCTACCGTATGCGAGAAGATATTTCAACCTTGGACAGTGAGTCACATCCAAAGATTTTAGTCTTAAAAATCTGAGTCCTGACCAACTAGTCCTGAAATGCTCTCCAAATAGGTGAGATCGTGGAGATGAAGTTCTTCCAGATTTGGTAGCAGATCATAATGGGCGGCACATCCTCCCTCTGGCCTTAAGCTGCTGTTGGAACTTGCAATGGTTAGAGATTTCAAACTGGAAAATTGATCAACGCTGTATATGACCAAGGTTTCAAGCATTTGATTTAGCCCCCGACAATGATTCAGGACAAATGAACTTGCATTAGTCAGAAACCAACCGATCCATTCACCTGAAAGATCAAGGCTACTGATTGTCACTCTCCTTTTGTCATGTTTAGTTGGCAAGGAGTTTGCTGTTGGACCTATAAAGAATTGGAATCTTATTAATCTATTTATCCAGGTAAGATCTTCAGAGCCTGGAGATGGAAGGCCCTTCAGTCGAATGGATAAGACGAGTAACCGCTGTAGGCATCGCAGCTCTTCAAAACTCGTTTCTCCCTCTTCTACCTCTCCTTTCAGTCCCCAGTGATAATTACTGAGTGTCATGTCTAGAACCTCCAAAGAAGACAAACTGGATATGATTCCATCTTGGATTGTTTTGAGATAGTGAGTCCGGGAGAGATCTAGTTGCTGTATATTGCTCAAATTTTCCATCCCTCTGGGCAATTCTCTAATACCAGTGGCACATAGATCAAGTGTTTGAAGTTTACTAAGGCCTCCAAGTGGGGGTAAGTTTTCGAGAAAGAAGCAATCCCTTAAAAGAAGAGCTCGAAGATCATGTAGTTGAAGAAGGGAAAGCGGTAGTGACTGGATACGGGTTCCACTCAAATTTAAGAGCCTGAGTGCTGGAAATCCTTGTAGGTATCTGTCAGGTACTCTATCAAGGGGAAAATTTCCTTGAAGTAGTAAACTTAAGGTCTCTGAACATTGTATCTCACAATCAGGCAAACTTGTGATTTTATTATTCATAAAAGAAACTCTTCTTAGTGAATTCAGTAACTCGATCTCAGAAATCTGGCTCAGGCCAGCCCCTGAACGAATAAGGAATTTACATGTATTCTCCAATGAGGATGCAATCCATATAGCAACATCTCGAACAACATCATGCATTTTCACAGTGCCTTTATGGTGGCCATTTTCTAACAAGCAATAGTCCTTTAGGGTCTCTATCAAAGCTATTCCCCTGTTGATTGAATCCTCATAATTTTCTTGTTCTTCTAGTAATCCTTCCGCCAACCAACACCTTACTAGTTCGTGTACTTCGATTGAAAAATCCTCAGGAAACAAAGCGCAATAAAGGAACCAAGACTAAGTATTCTTACCTCTCAGTTTATCGTAACTCCACTTTACAGGCTTGTAGACTTTATCTTCAATCCCTTCAACACATGGCACTGATCTTTGCAACTCATTCAAAGCATGCTTCCACAGCCTGACAATTGTCTTTCCCCTCATAGCTGTCCCCATGGTGATGACAGCCAAAGGCAAACCTCTACATTCTCTGGCAACTGCCTTTGCCAGTGGTTCAATACGTTCTAAAGTCGTTACGTTCCCTGCATTTCTAGTAAACAATTTCCACGCCTCTTCATCATTCAGGGCATCAACTTTCACTTGTTTATCAGTTTTCATCTGCTTACATACTCCCAGAGAGCGAGATGTCAATATGATCTTAGAGCCAGTTTGAATTTCAGGTTGTGGGAAACCCAATAGGTCCAGATCGATAGTCTCCCAGACATCATCTAAGATAAGAAGAAACTTATTCACCTTTCGGAGCCTTTTATGAAGTCGAATTGCTAACCTTTCCACAGTTTCTTGCATTTTAACCTCCAAATTCAATCTCTCTGCAATTTGTATTTGGACCCTTTTAATGTCCAGGTCCTTGGACACCGTAGCCCATAGTACCAAGCTAAAATACTGTGTCGAAGAAGTGCCCTTGAGCTTGTTGTTCAAGTTTCTTACCAGGGTAGTCTTGCCTACACCTCCCATGCCCCAAACACCAATCCTCATAACATTATCATCATTCAATAAGTTCATAATTTCGTCTAAAGTTTTCGTTGCAGTTGTTTCATTTTCGATAAAAGGTCCAGGGATTTCCGCAACTGTTTCCACAAAAGGATGTTCATTCACCATTATATTGCCAGCCTTCAGAAGTCTTTTTACCTCTTTCAGCAATCTAGTTGTTTCCCTGCTAAGTTTGTATCTTTCATTGCAATGAAAGAAACATCCACACAGCTTTTTGTAGTCAGCTGTCATAATTTCTAGCACTGAATTCACTTCAAGAATAATTCTTCCGACCTCTCTATGCCATTCTATCTTGTGAGTTTCATCTGGTTCAACTTCTTCTTGCACTTTATTCCTTAGATCTGTCAGACTCTTCACCTCCTTTTCCAAGGCACTAAGATTTGTTTTGAATCTGATGAAGCCCTTAATTTCTGGACAGGAGCCACAGAATAATCGGCCTGTCTCTACCACTATTGGACTAAGGATTGAAGCCACCATTTCCATGACTGAATTTTAGTGAAATGTGTTAGCCAAGCTTTAAGAAATTTTAGGTAATGAAATTGAAGGATGAATGCAAATTTGGCAGCCTAAGAAGCAAATGTGGAATGGCCATGACGCACTTTTATTTATTGAAGTTGACTTCAAAATAGTTAATGGATTAAATCTACCATTCTTATCTGTCTAGTCATTTGTTTGGCCGCGAGATCCGGCTGTCACTTGTAGCTTTTTTTTTTTTTTTTGGTGGAATTGTGAGAATTGGGAGGAGGAGAAGAAAAGGGAGGGACAAAGAGGAGAGGAGGAGGAGGGGAAGGGGAAGGGCAACACAGAGAGAAGGAGATGGAGAAGAGAGGAAAGCAGTCGGAAACGGATAAGCGAGTCGGTGGTGGAGGAGGAAAAAAATAAAAGGAAAAAGAAAAAAATTATTGTTGACATAGTATTTTATGCTTTGCTTTGGTCCTGCACTCATAGTTGAATATTCTGACGATATAAGTATATAACAATGTTTTAAGAAATTATATTGAATAGGCGGAACGACGTCTTCCCAGTTCCCACCCGAAGCTTGCCCGGGTGTGTTTGGTTAATAAAATATTTTATTAATAGAAAAAAAATTACCTTAAGCGTGCATTTGGTTCTGAAAATATTTTATTACTCAAAAGGTTAGCTTATTTCTCAAATAGATTACCTTGAAGATTACAGTAAATATTATACCAATACATTTGGTTAGATTAGTAGGTATAAATAATTAAGATGTTTGGTTAGAAAGAATAAAATATTATCCACAAAGACTTTTATTGAATTACCACTCATTTTTAATATAATAATAATAATAATTATATTATTATTATTTAAATTCCTTTAACCCCTTATATTTGAAAATTTAGCTAAAACACCCATAACAACAAAGTTTAAATTTTAACAAAATATCCCAGCCACCCAAGACCACCACCGATCGTCGACCACCGGCGCCAGGCACCAAAACGATGCACGACTAACGAGATCAGGCTAGCTGTGCGTCGTTTTGGCTATTTTCGGCCACATTGAATGCCGAAAACAGTTAGAACACTGTGGATCTGGTCGAAAACGACCAGATCCACGCTGATTTGGCTGTTTCTGACTAGATCAAAAGTAAAAAACAGCCAGATTGTTGTGGATCTGGTTGAAAACGGTCACAAATGGTCTATCTATTTTGGTCGTTTCTAGCCAGATCCACGACAATTTGGCCATTTTCAGCATTCGATCTGGCCAGAAACAGTAAGATCGGTGCACAGCCAGCCAGATCCCGCCAGTCGTGTGTTAATATGGCTACTATTTTTGGTGGCCAACAGTAGTGGCTGGCGGCCGACTGTGGTCTTTGGTGACTGGGGTGTTTTAGCTAAATTCTAAAATGTAGGGGGTCTGAGTTATTGTTATTTGGTTGACATTCGAGGGCAATTGTGTCTAGAATGGTATTTAATTAAGGGCAAAATGGGTATAAAATTAAGATTACCTTAGTAATCTTTAAATACCACCCCCTGAGGAGGAAATCTGATTACCCCCTATTTAATCCACAGTAATCACTATTGGTATTGAAAGATTACCGAAATCTTTTAGTACTTGACAACCAAATAAGAGAATATTGAAAATGAAAGATAGATCACCGGAGTTATCTTTCCAAAGCCTTAACCAATCACACCCTAAAAGATTATTGGGAATGTTTAGGAAAATGTGTTTGATTGGTTGAAACAAATTGGTGGGTATGTTATATTAATATGTTTAGTTGGGAGGAATAAATTGGTCGGTATGTTATATTAATAAGTAATACTACACCAACAACCCTTTCTCACAAACTTTCTCTCACAACCCTGATGTGGCAGCTCGCAATTGGTTAACTAATTAATTAGTGGTACCCATGTGGGACCCATTGTAAACTGATCAATTATGAGCTGCCACATCAAGGTTGTGAGTGAAAGTTTTTCTGAGAGAGGGTTGTTAGTGTAGTATTTTCTATATTAATATGTTTAGTTGGGAGGAATAAATTGGGGCTATGTTATATAATTTACTAAATTGCCCTACTTTTTAAATATTAATATAATATTATTATTTTTTGAATAATTCTTTTAACCCCCTACGTTTGAGATATTACTAAAACACACCAGCAACCAAAAAAGTTTTAAACTTAATAAAAACACCCTCACCCACCCTAAGCTACCCTCGGCCGCCTGCCACCACCACTGGTAGCTACGGAAGTGGTCATAACGACGTACAACTGGAGGGATCTGGTCGGTCGTGTGCCAATATGGCCATTTGCGGCTAGAACATGCTGCCGTTAATGACCAAAGTTTTGGCTATTGGCGGCCAGAAATCTGGCTGTCGTTAACAACCAGAGTTCGGTCATTGACGACCAAAAGCTGTAGATCTAGTAAAAAATAGACAGAATAGATCTAGCATTTTCCACCAGATCTACGGCCATCTGGCCGTTTTTTGCCATCAATATGGCCAAAAACTGCTATATCGAAACACAACGATGACTTCCGGCGACGGGTGATAGTGGTTTGGGTTGTAATTTGTTTTAAATATAAGGACATTGTTATCCAAAAACTTAATTAAATAGGGGTAAAATTGTAATGGTAGATTATTGTAAATTAATTTCAAAACAAGGGCATTATTGTCTAAAAATTTTTTTAATAAAGGGAAAATTGTAGCAAAAAAAAGATTACCAAGTACTCTTAAAAAATACCCAAGAAAATGGAGAAGAAAATGTTGAATTTATGAAAAACTTCTGCTAAGGCATAGAGAGCCTTGTCCTATATCCATGCTGCTGTAACAGACCTTGTCTTCACAAGGATAATGGCGGGTGAAACTGCAAAAGAGGCTTGGGACAAGTTGAGGGAGGAATTCATGGGAAGTGACACTAGAAAGTATATGCAGGTGCTAAACTTAAAAAGGGAGTTTGAGATGTTGAGAATGCAAGAAGCTGAGAAGGTGAAGGAGTATGTTGACAGGTTGATGAGTGTAGTAAACAAAATCAAGTTGCTTGGAGTGGAGATGATAGATAGGAGAATTGTTGAGAAGGTTTTGGTGAGCTTGCCCAAAAGGTTTGAGTCCAAAATTTCTTCTCTTGAGGACTCAAAGGACATGTCTCAGATTACACTTACTGAGTTAGTCCATGCCTTGCAAGTACAAGAGCGAAGAAGACTCTTGAGGCAAGAAGACACAAGTGAGGGTGCAATGATGACAACTTACAAAGGCAAGTTTGCACAAGGAAACAATATGAGGTATGCTGGAGATAAAAAGGGGAAAGAAATGAGCCATGGTCAGTAGGGAAAACCAGGTGGGGTGAAGGATACAATGTAGGGCCTGCAAGCAGTTTGGCCACATAGTGAGGGTCTGCAAGAACAAAGGAGAGTAGTCCTAACAGCAAGCTTAAGTAACTAATGATCAACAACCAGAACAGGTGACATAGCTTTTGTTTGTAGCTTCCTGCAGTGCAACACAAACAAGCAATGACGGCTAGCTAATTGATAGTGGATGTAAAAACCACATGACACCAGACTTACAGAGCTTTGTCAAATTAAAACATGTATATCGGTCTAGAATCAAAGTCGAAAATGGTGAGTTTGTTGAACCAAAAGGAAAGGGAGATGTTGTTGTCCAGACACCAACATGTACAAAACATATTACTAATGTACTTTATGCACCCGAAATTAGTCAATGTCTCCTTAGTGTGGGACAAATGTTGAAGAAGAATTATGTCCTGCATTTCCAAAACCGAACTTGCAAAATCTTGGACAGTGAAGGGTGTGAGCTCATGAGGGTAAAAATGGTGGGAAAGAGCTTCCCTATCAAGCAGGAAAAATTAGAAGTTAGGGCCTATAATGCTAGGGTAAATGAGTTTGAAAAATTGCATAAAAGGTTTGGCCATTTCCATTACCATGGACTTAAAAAAATTTAGACCAAAAAGTTGGTCTAGAATTTGCCCGAAATTGAAGAAACCAAGTATGCCTTGCTTGTCAACTTGGCAAGTTGAGTAGGTAGCCTTTTCCCGTAAACCAAGCCTAGAAAGCTGCTGAAAAACTTCAGCTCATTCACTCAGATGTGTGTGGCCCTATGCAAACCTTATCATTGAGTGAAAGTAGGTACTTTGTGTTGTTTATAATTACTAGTCCAGGATGTGTTAGGTGTATTTTTTGAAGCAAAAAAGTGAGGTGGCTGGTGTGTTTAAGAAGTTCAAGTAGCTGGTGGAAACCAAACAGGAAAAATAATTAAAACTTTGAGAAGTGACAATAGGACTGAATACACTTCTTAAGAGTTTGAGCAAATTTGCAAGGAGGCTAGGATTAGAAATTAGTATAGCAGCCCCTACACTCCATAGTAGAATGGAGTTAGTGAGAAGAAGAACAGGTCTATTATGGAGATGGCAATGTTTATGGTTGCTGAGAAGAAGTTGCCAAAGAGTTTTTAGGCAGAGGCTGTCAACACCACAGTCCACCTGCTCAATAGGCTTCCCACAAAACCCTTGACCAACCAAACTCCTTATGAAGCCTGGTATAGAGTCAAACCAGTAGTAGACAATTTCAAAATTTTTGGGAGTGTATACTATATTTTAGTTCCAGCAGCAAAAAGAACCAAGTTGGATGATAAGGCTTTGACTGAAATTTTCATTGGCTATAGCAGCCAATCCAAAGGTTACTGAGTGTATATTCCAGAATCCAAGAAGATTCTGATCTCTAGGGATGTCAAGGTAGATGAGGATGGAGTTTGGAATTGGGAAGAAAGCAAAGTTGATGTAGAGACAAGACCTCAATTTATAGAAGTTGCTGGTGATTAGTTTTTTCATGAAGAAGAGAGTGATGCAGAAGAGGAATTCTTCGTTAGAGGCACTAGACCTTTAGCTGAGGTGTATGAGAGGTGCAACATGACTTCACTTGAACCAAAAAACTACTTTGAAGCAGTAAAATCAGAGGCTTGGAGAGCTGCCATGAAAGAGGAGTTAGCAATGATTGAGAAGAACCAAACCTGGAAACTTGTGGACAGACCTGAGAATAGAAAAGTAATCCAAGTTAAATGGATTTTCAAGAGGAAACTCAATTCGGATGGCTCAGTTCTTAAGTACAAAGCTAGGTTGGTTGTCAAAGGTTTTGCTCAACA